AGGGGGGGGGGGAAGGAAATTTTTAAAAAAGGAATATAAAACATGAAAGTGCTGTTAGAAATTGAATTGTACGTGTCATCCTGGCTCAAACAGAGACTTGCGTTTCCTTACTAATTTCAGTCTCCTAATAGCTCTCTAAGACCAAGTCTCAAGAAATTTTCATTGGCTGCTCTTAACGTGTTTTATCATCAGTCCATAACCTCGTTACCAATATCCGTTAAGTTCCACTTAAACTTCTGACCACCTCTTCCCGAGTTGACTTTGTCTTCTTCCTTGTCTGTTTGCAACTTTTAATCCTGTTCTAGTCATTTACACAGAGAATGTACACTTGGAAGACTCAGGATGGAATTCGCAACCATCTCTCTGCCTCATTCCCCCCCCTCCCCCGAAATCTTCCCTTTAAATATAATTCCAAGTTTGACTTCCCTTCACATGCCTGAGGAAGTGAGCCGTGTCTCACAAAAAGCACACATTGAAATAAATGTCATTAGTCTTTAAGGTGCCCTACCAGACTTCCATTTTATTTAGCTATGGAAGACTCAAAACCAAACTAGACATTATGGCAGCCATATTTCCAACCTGTGGCCGTCCATGACATTTTAGATAAAACCTTGGGCATTTAAAAAATGCCACCGGGGGAGGGGGACACCTGGTGATCTCCCCCCCCCGAGGCTTACCGGGGGGGAGGGGACCGCTGGTGGACTCCCCCCCCCCGAGGCTTTTCACGTACCGAAAAAGCCCTGTTTCAGCACTTGAAGGGTGTAGGGGACGACGACAAGATTTTAACTCTGTTTTGTATGTATTTTAACTGTATTTTGTATGTATTTTAACTCTTTTTTAAACTCTGTTTTTTAAAAAAAAAATATGATGGGTTGATCTTTGGTTTTGGGGGGGTTGATCTTAATGGTTTTAAAATCTGATTTTATCGTGTATTTTTTAAGTCGTTTGCTGCCACGGTGGCCCTTTGCAAGGACAGGAAAGTGGGACACAATTTTTGTAAATATATATAGAGATATTTAAAATTAAAGATCTCCCAGTCCCCCATCCCACGGGCCTGATCAGGACCGGGGCCATGTGGCCTTTCTTTAAAGCTCTTGTTTAAAATGGCATCGGCGGCCAAAGGTCGGACCCACAGCCACCGTTAACATCAAGTTTGGCTCTAACAAGGCTACATATCTGCAGTCAGTTCAGACATGGCCAGTTCCTTCGGCCTGCCTTTAAAATATTTCTGTGCCAGAACCGATAACTATCTTGGCAGCTGCCCTTGAAATCTCTCCCTACTTGTCAACACCCTTCCTGACCTGTGCTCTAAAGAAGCACGCACGTTTGTGCAAACACACACACACACACACACACAGTCTATCCCAAAGCCCGGCCTGCCTCCTAAGTAGAAAAAGTTGCTTTCCTTTGTACTTACCGCAAGGGGAAAGACAATTCTAGCTGCTCAATGATCTGTCAATCAAAAGAGCAAAATTAAATGGCCGTCGATGGAAGCAAGAGGACAGCGGATATCAATCATCCGGGGATGAACAAGGGTGCCCATTATCCCCATTATTATTCATCTTAGCATTAGAACCTTTAGCGGAATATTTAAGATTAAACAAAAAACACACAAGGTATTTAAGTCGGGCCACAAGAACACAAAATTGGATTACATGCAGATGATACGATTTTACATCTCACCAGACCTATAGAATCACTAAAAGAAATTCAAAATACATTACAAGACTTTAGCCAAATTTCTGGTCTGTCTTTTAGCCAATCAAAATCATCCATCCATCCAATAAATATTTCTAATAGCACTTTAAAGCTAACAGAGACTTCTTTGCCTTTTAACTTGTTGGAAAAACCATGGAGATATTTGGGAATTCATATTCCACCTAACACACAGCATCTATTAAAGTATAATTTTCAAACTTTATACAGGAGGAAATAAAAAAAAATCTTTACAGCAGTGGAATTCTAAAACACGATCCTGGCTCGATAGGATGGATCTAACTTAATGTTTCGTATTACCAAGATATCTATTCCTCTTTAGGGCACTTCCAATCGCTATACCTAATAAAACTATACAAACTCGGCAAGCCAGTTTAAACATTTTTCTTTGGGCAGGGAGGAGAAAAAAAACCCGGGGACGAACCGGGCTTTACGAACAGGTTTTGAAACGGCATTCTAGTTAACTGGGAATATCGGCAGAGCTGTGAGGCAGAACTGATCTCTGCAAAGGGCTTCTGCCTGAACAAAGAAACAACGGAGCCGGTATGAGACTCTCAGCCAGCCCCGTAACTAGGGAATTTTTTTGGGAGGGGGCCTCGGGGGCCCCCGCCAGCTAATTAAATCAAAGCACAGTGCAAGTGGTAAGTTGGGGTACTTTGGGGGCAGTCTGGGAGGGAGGGGGCCCAGAAGAAACACTAGGGGGCCGGGCCCCCATGGGCCCCACATTCGCTACGGGCCAGCTCCCAGCCCTGACCTAGATGGCCCGGCTACCCCAGACTCATCAGCAGGGTAGGCCTTGGATAGTACTTGGACGAAAGACCACCCAGGAAGACCAGGGTCCCTACACAGAGGCAGTCCACGGCCAACCACCTCTGTTTTAGTCCCTTTCCTTGACCTGGCTGGCCCGATCTCGTTGGATCTGGGAAGCGAAGCAAGGTCAGCCCTGGTCAATGTTTGGATGGGAGACCACCAAGGAAGGCTCGGATCACGACAGCAAAACCGCCTCTGTTCGTCTCTTCCTTTGACAACCGCACAGGAGGTCGCCATAAATGGGCAGAGTGACTTGATCGTGGCGCTTTCCAGGACAATCCAGGGCCTCATCTGTGGGGTTGAGGGATACTAAGGACCAGAAGAGGGCAACCGGGACAGTGAGAGGGTTGGAAACCAAGTCTTATGAGGGAAGGCTGAAAGAGTTGGGTCTGTTTAGCCTGGGAAAGAGAAGGCTTAGAGGGGACAGGATTGCAGTCTTCAAGTATCTGAAGGGCTGTCATGTGGAAGATGGAGCAGATCTGTTCTCTCTTGCTCCGGATTGCAAGACCAGATCTAATGGGTGGAAACTACAAGGGAGTCGATGACCGGCTAAATATCAGGAGAAACTTCCTAACTGTACGAGTGGTTGAGCAGTGGAACAGTCTGCCTCGGGAGGTGGTGGATGCTCCTTCGCTGGACGTTTTCAAGTGGGAGAGGCTGGAAGACCATCTTTTGGGTATGTTGTAGGGCTCTCTTTCGGCTCTGCTCCTGCAGAGTGCAGGGGGTTGGACTAGGTGACCTGCAAGGTCCCTTCCAACTCTAACATTCTATGATTCTATGATTCTATGACGTTGGTGGCAAGGAAAGAGACCCTTTTTCCAAGGCCAGAGCCCTCAAGAGCAATGTTCCCTCTCAGCTGAGTCAGTGTGAGTGAGCTCACAGTTCTTTAGCCTCCGGCTCACACATTTTTGTCTGAGCTCAGGAAGGATGGGGCTCCAGAGCAAAGGAACTAATGCAGCAGCCCAATCGCTGGCTCGCAACTTTCATGCCGGTAGCTCACAGAGTAGGATTTTTGCTCACAAGACTCCACAGCTCAGAGGGAGCACTGCTCAAGGGGTGTTGCATTCCACACCTCAGCACCTTACTGGACAGGATTAGAGAAGGCCCCTGCCTAGCCCCTCTCTCCCCGCGCCTGACACCAGTGCCTTCTCCAATCCATCCCCAGCGCATAATGGGCCACCTGATTACTGAATGTGTCTGCATCCTTTCCAGGCAGGCCCGTAGCTACGGGGGGGGGGGCATCTCGGGGCCAGGCCCCCTGACTTACTGGCTAGGCCCCCTGACTTCCCATCCAGCCCAGGGCCCCCGAGTGGCAGCAGGTGTGGGGAAGGAGCCGGGTATCAATCAGCCAGCGCCCCCTAAGAAATGTAAATGCCCCCTGACTTAAAAAAATCCTAGCTACGGGCCTGTTTCCAGGACAATCCTCGATCCCATGAAAGGCCTCTGGAACTCCAGCTTTTGGCTGACTCCGGAGTGACCCCGTCGCTGGGATCAGGTGGCACCGATATTGATCTGTCTGCTTCGGGTTCTTACCGATTTCTGGGCGTCAAACATCAGGTTTTTGTAGAAATGTGCAAAGTGGCTGAAAGTCATTTCGGTCCTGACTTCCACCTCCTTTAGAGAAAAGAAGAAGAAAGGCGTTCAAGCGGGAGGCCTCAGCCGGATCAAGAAAACTCTGTATCCACGTCTCAAGGGATCTAATAAAGATTGTCTACCCTCACAGCGTCAAAGTTTACCCCTGATGCTGAATGAGAATTGACCAGGCCCCCCTCCTTTTCTGCAGGGGTTTCTCCCCCCACAAGGGGCTTGGCGGGACAGAGCAGGAAAGTAAGTGAGGAGACGCCAGGGATGTACAGTGGTTAGAGGGTCAGCCTAGGTCCTGCGAGACCTGGATTCAAATTTACACTCAGCAATGAAGCTCACTGCGTGATCTTGGGCATGTTGCTTCCTTTCAGCTTTAGCCTACCTCAAAGGGGGGTTAGGAGGATAAAATATGGACAGGACAACCATGAATGGACCCCTGAGCTTCTTGGAAGAAGGGCGGGGTAAGAATGGGACAGGCAAATAGATTGGATAGGACAGATGGAAGAATGAGGAGAGGAGGGGAGAGGAAAGGAAAGGAAAGGAAAGGAAAAGAAAGGAGGGGAGAAGAGGAGAGGAGGGGAGGGGAGGAGAGGAGGAGAGAGGAAAGGAAAAGAGGGAAGAGGAAAGGAAAGGAGGGGAGGAGAGAGGAGAGAGGAAAGGAAAGGAGGGGAGGAGGGGAGGGGAGAGGAGAGGAAAGGAGAGAAGAGGAAAGGAAAGGAGGGGAGGAGAGGAAAGAAGTGGAGGAGAGGAGAGGAGGGGAGAGGAAAGGAAAGGAAATGACAGGAAAGGAGGGGAGGAGAGGAGAGGAAGGGAGAGGGGAGGAGGTCTTCTCACCAGAAGTTTGTCCCGCAGAAATCTCATATTAGGCACACGATAGTTGACCTGTGGCAAGAGGGCCTTCAGATCCTTGGGAGTGACACTGCAACACATTGAATGAGAAAAAGAGATGTGAAAATAGGGCTATGCAAAAAAACCCAACAACTGACTTTCTTCTGGACCACTTGCTCAACTTAAATCTGCTGCTGCACGGCCGGGTCTTTGTACCCCCGATTTTCCTGCTTTAAATTCCAGTATAAGGCATACACCGGTTCCAGACTTACATTTGCAATCCAGGTTTCGAATGCCCACAATTGTGCACACTGGACGGCTGGGGAAATTCTTCCAGCACCTTGGGAGCAGGCGCCACACACACACACCTGCTGGAGCTGGCTGCATTGGCTGCTGCTACATGGACACACACCCGTGGATCTCTCGTTCTCTACCCCAATCTCAAAGGGCTGCTTTCAAGGGTGGAAGGGAGTCAAAGTATAGAGTCTCGGACTAGAACACCAATGCAGAACTTGCATCCCACCAGGACAAATACAGGTACAGGGGCTGGATATTACTTTCCTTTCCTTAAGAATATCAGAAGAGCCCTGCTTTGTCAGACCAGTGAGGGTCCATCTAGTCCAGCATCCCATCTCACACTGTGGCCAACCAGTTCCTCTGGAGGGCCAGCAACAGGGCAGAGAGGCCGAGGCCTTCCCCTGCTAAGAACATCAGAAGAGCCCTGCGGGATCAGAGCAGTGGTCCATCTAAATCCAGCATCCCTTCTCAAACAGTGGCCAACCAGTTCCTCTGGAGGTCCAACAACATGGCATAAAAGCCGAGGTCTTCATAACAATATAAGAAGAGCCCTGATGGATTAGACTAATAGCCCATCTAGTCCAGTATCCTGTCTCACCCGGTGGCCAACCAGTTCCTCTGGAAGGACGACAACGCAGCACAGAGGCCAAGGACTTCCCTGACAAGAACCCAAGAAGAGCCCTGCTGGGTCAGACCAGTGAGGGTCCATCTAGTCCAGCATCCTGTCTCACCCGGTGGCCAACCAGTTCCTCTGGAAAGCCAACAACAGGGCAGAGAGGCCAAGGCCTTCCCTTGATGTTGCCTCCTGGCTCTGGAATTCAGGTTCCCCTCAGTCACAATGGCTAGCAGACACTGATAAACCTATCTTCCATGAATTCATCTAATCCCTTTTTTAAAAAAAAATAGATTTTATTGGTTTTCTACAAAAGAGAAAGACAACAACTACAAATACAAAGAAACTAACACACAACAAACATGAATCATGTACTCATTATGACTACTTAAATTTTACATAGATGGAATCATTCTTTTATGCACCTAAACTAATTTAACCATTTAACATGTAGAGCTTATATCCTAATAGTTATGCTCTACATCTTTTAAGATATTCCTCAATCCGTTTATATAGTCTTGACCAGGTTTTCTCAAAGATTTATTCTTTTTTTATCTTGTAACTGTAGAGTTAATTGGTCTGTTTCCAGTAATTTATAAACTATTTCTTCTTTCGACGGAACTTCTTATTTTCTCCAGTATTTTGCATACAAGACCCTAGCCATGGTTATAACGTGTATAATGATATAAGCGTCTGGTTTTTCAAAACTCGCTGGTATAATATTTAATAAAAACAGTGCTGGTACAAATGGTATGGTTGTTTCCAGGGGTCATTTCCTGCAGGAGCACGCAGGAGCGGAGCTCCAGCAGTAAAGAGCCCAGGGGGCGGGCACATGCAAGAAGCCCCACCCCCTGCTCCCAGAAGCCCTCAGTCAGAGCAAGAAGCAGCCAGGTAAATTGCGGGGTGTGGCACATGCAAATGTTATGCTAATGAGTTATGCTAATGAGTTCCTGCACCTCTTTTTCTATGAAATGACCCCTGGTTGTTTCTAACATTTTTTGCAATATCTCATGTATCCATATCCATTTTTATTTTTTTTTGTTATATTACAAGACCACCACCTACGGAAAAAGGAACCGGTGTTTTGCTTACATATCGAATCCCTTTTTAAAGCTGTGTATCCCCTGTGGCCACGGTAAGAACATAAGAAGAGGAGAGAGAGAGAGATCAGTCTCTTTCCTAGACTAACAAATCCCAGACCCTTCAGCCTTTCCTTCTTGCGGCACCTTTAAGACCAACAAAGTTTTATGCATATGAAAGCTTATACCTTTAATAAGACTTTGTTGGTCTTAAAGGTGTCGCTGGACTCAAACGTTGTTCTCCTGCTTCTGACCAACACAGCGACCCACAAAGACCAGGAGGGACCATTTCCCAGGAGATGGGCAGGGAGGGGGGACGCGCCGAGGCGTAAGGCGTGGGTGACCATCCCTTGAATCATTATTTGCAATGTCGCAGTAAACCCGACGTAGCCCTTGAAACGAGGCGCATTCGAAAGCTAAGCAAACAAGGCGGACGACTGTTGACACACCAAAGGGTTATGAGGCCCATACGGATGTAGGCCAGAGAGTCGGAAAACATCCTGTCTCTAGCGCTACGGAAGGCTTCCAGAAAATCCAAAGACCACTGCCGTGCAGGGGGGTGGTTTTGCACGGGGCGGAAAGAGTTGCGGTCGATGCAGATCACCGGCCCTCTGTAGGTTCCAAGTCAACCTGAGCCCCAGGCAGCTCAAGATGAACCTTCCATTCTTCCCTTACCGCCCCCTAATGGAATTGGGAACTGCACACAAGGGGCCGGATCACTAAGTTGGTCTCTTTGGATGAGACCCAAGGGGGCTGACTGAGGGGCTTGTCAAAGAATACGCCAGTCCCCTTGTTCAGATGGGACATTTTCATGCCATTTTCCGAAGGAAAAGTATGAAGGGGACTCCTGGTCTTCCAAAGCAAAACCAAGCTCTGAGTTCCTTGTTGAATGTAGGTGGCACTTATGAAATGGTAATGCTATGGTAAAAAGCTGTTCTGGAGGAGGAGGAGGAGGAGGAGACAATGAAGAGGATGAAGAAGACAAGGAGGAGGAGATGGAGATTTGATTTATACCCCACCCTTTACTCAGAGATTCATTCATTTATTTATTTATTTACATTTATACCCCGCCCTCCCCGCAATCTCCTTTCCCTTCCCCTCCCAAAGCAGACACTGTGAGGTAGATGGGGCTGAGACTGAGAGAGCTCTCTTGAGAACTGCCCTTTTTCAAGAACAGCTCTTGTCAGAACTATGGCTTGCCCAAGGTCATCTAGCAGATGAAAGTGGAGAAGTGGGGGATCAAACCCGGTTCCTCCCAGATTAGAGTCCACGCACTTAACCACTACACCAAATTGGCTCTAAGGAACACCAGCCCTCATATGTCTCATACAAGAGTCTTGATATGTCTTAATTATATTTAATAAAATAAATCCAGGCTGATTAGCTTGTGCACTGGATGTGTATTTAATCCTGAACTGAACATCAGTTTAATGTAAAATATATCCCAGGATTAAAACAGAGAGCTACACACCCTGAGTTAGCTGGCAACGGCCTGCTTTGTAAAGCACCGCTATCGCGCGTAACACGTCCCAAACAACGCTCGCGAGGTCAGGAGCATCTGGAAATCCAAATTGGATTAAAGCGTTTGGTTTGTAAAACCTCTCTCCGCGTCGTTAAGGCTGTCTTTCTACAAAATAATTCCACCGGGATTAAATTAAGCATCCGATTAACGTAGCACTGAGGAGACGCAACGACTGTTTTGGCCGGAATAGTCCGAGGGTAATTGTCATCAGTGGGTCTTGAATTAATTCCGACGGGATTACAGGAACAGGAATGGGATTAAAGCCACTTTAAAATGCACCCAGTGGGAAATTTTAAAAAAGAACACAGAGCACTGCGATCCTTACTGAATAATCTCTGTGGATTACAGCAGATCTTCAATTCAGCTATACACAGCTGGAGAGCAGAGGGCTCTAAGTAGTATACAGGGCTTGGGGGAAAAAAATCCTTTCTATCTCCACCTCCTGCTGGGTTCGCCCCGCATGGCTTCCTGCCCCCACGCCCTTCCCTTCCTGCACCGACCTCCATCCTCGGCTATCCAGCATCCTGTTTACAGACTGCTGGCACACAGGTACAGGCAAAAGACCACAGGGGTGTCCGACTGCAGTGCACCAGAGTAGCCATGCTGCGCGTGCACTATTTTACACCAAGGTAGCGAGAGGAGCCTGCCCGGATTGTGCTCTGTCTGCCTACCCTCAAGCATCACTTCAAAAAGGATGTGTGCAAATTCGAGAGGGTGCAGAGGAGAGCGACGAGGATGATCAGGGGTCTGGAGACCGAGCCCTACGAGGAAAGGCCGAGGGCCTCGGGAATGTGTAGTTTGGAGAAGAGGAGACTGAGGGGGGACGTGATCGCTCTCTTTAAATATTTGAAGGGCTGTCACTTGGAAGAGGGCAAGGAGCTGTTCCAGTTGGTAGCAGAGGACAGGACCCAAAGCAACGGGGTTTAAATTATATGCAGAAAGTTATCGGCTGGATCTCACGAAAAACTGTTTCACGGTCAGGGTGGTTCAAGGGTGGAAACAGCTGCCTAGGGAGGTGGTTAGCTCCAGTTTGGTGTAGTGGTTAAGTGTGCGGACTCTAATCTGGGAGAACCGGGTTTGATTCCCCACTCCTCCACTTGCACCTGCTGATGTGACCTTGGGTCAGTCACAAGCTCTGGCACAGCTGTCCTTGAAAAAGAGCAGTTTGTGTCAGAGTTCTCTCAGCCCCACCCACCTCACAGGGTGTCTGTTGTGGGGAGGGGGAAGGGAAAGGAGTTTGTAAGCCGCTCTGAGACACCTTTGGGTAGTGAAGGGCGGGGTATAAATCCAATCTCCTCTTCTTCTTCTTCTTCTTCTTCACGGGCAGCTTTCAAGAAGAAATTTAAATCAATATATGAAGACACAAGTGCATATTAGTAGAGTGTGTTTTGTTCCAACACGGTGTTTCTTTACGTTTGTCTAATTTTGCCGTGTTTCCTGTGTGTTTGTTGCTGGAGCTTTCAAGAAGAGGCTGGACGAATATTTGTCAGAGATGCTTTAGGCTGGTCCTGCATCGGGCAGGGGGTTGGACCAGATGGTTTGCATGGCCCCTTCCAACTCTAGGATTCTATAATCTTTGTTTTAGAAAGAGAAACTGTTTGATGGCCAGGTACGATTTTAGCCCTGTTTGGGGGGAAAAGAGAGACGTGCAAGGACTCGGCTTCATGGAAACCTCCTGAGAGCCATCCCTCCACGACGCAGGAGACAACAACTGCGTTTAACTCCCGAGACAAGTTCATCGAAACCATCCTGTTGGATGAGGCCAAGGCTGCATTCTGCATCCAATGTCACCCGGCCACACACATCTGGGAAGCCCATAAGACATAGAATCATAGTGTTGGAAGAGACCTCCAGGGTCATCTAGTCCAACCCTCTACACAAGGCAGGAAATTCACAAATACCTCCCCCCTCCCACACCTCCAATGACCCCCTTCTCCATGCCCAGAAGATGGCAGAAAACCTCCAAGATCGCCGGCCAAAGTGGCCTGGAGAAAAATTACTTCCTGACCCCAACGGGGCGATAGGCATTTCCCTGGGCGTGTAAGAAAGGGCCACGAGAACTAAGCCCTGAGGCAACCCTTCCTACCCTCCCTCTCGTAATCTGCCCAAGTTCACAGGACCAGCATTGCTGTCAGATGGATCCACCTAGCCTCTGCTTGGAAACCTTCAAAGGAGGAAAGCCCACCACATTTAGTTATTATCGTTAACAGCCATCTGTAATGTGAATCCTGCCCTCCATATATCTGACTAATCCGTTTCAGCGAGTTCCAGCCTGCCTGGGGCCTTGTGCTGATAGAAGTGAAACACGTCTGCCTGGGATGAACCAACGCAGGTCTCAGGTGATGAGGTCTCACACAGCTCCTTCATACAGAAGAGAACAACCTCCTTGAAGGCAGAAAGCTAGCATGCCAGGATGAGCTAGTTTGGGGTAGTGGTGAAGAGTGCAGACTCTAATCTGGGAGAACGGGGTTTGCTTCCCCACTCCTCCGCATGCACCTGCTGGTGTGACCTTGGGTCAGTCACAAGTTCTCTCAGAGCTGTTCGCTCAAGAGCAGTCCTCGAAAGAACTCTCTCAGCCCCACCTACCGCACAGGCAGTGTTCCCTCCAAGCTTGAGTTAGTGTAAGCTAGCTCAGTTTTTTAACCTCCGGCTCACACATTTTTGTCTCAGCTCAGGAAGAAGGGCTCCAGAGCAAACTAATTTATGCAGTAGCCAAATCGCTTGCTCACAACTTTAATGCCTGGTAGCTCACAAAGTAGAATTTTTGCTCACAAGACTCCATAGCTTAGAGGGAGCATTGCTCACAGGGTGCCTGTTGTGGGGAGGAGAAGGGAAAGGAGATTGTAAGCCGCTCTGAGACTCCTTTGTATAGTGAAGGGCGGGGTATAAACCCAATCTCCTCCTCCTCCTCCTCCTCTTCTTCTTCTTCTGCTATTCTTCAATGCACAGGGATGTGTTTTTACATGGAGATGCATCCCCTTATGAGAGCCCTCCCACCTGCTACATGGAGCGGTCCACCCAAGACACAGGATCTCAGCGGAAACTAGCAGAATTCTTTGTTTGCCTTACTCTGTGGGGGCCAGGAGACCACCCAACTCCGCAAAGCTTCTTTTCCTGCTTTTATACACTAATTCCAGGTGGGTAGCATGGTTAGCCCGGGGCAGCAAAATAAGACAGGAATATAGTGGCACTTGAGAGGCTAAAAGGCACGAGTCTCCTGGGAGCTTCCAAGGCAAAATGGCTGTATTTGAATTCACCAAGATGTTTAACACCATCTCCAGGGGTCATTTCCTGCAGGAGTGCACAGGTGCGGAGCTCCGGCAGTAAAGAGCCCAGGGGGCGGGCTCATGCACGAAGCCCCGCCCCCTGCTCCCAGCAGCCCTCAGTCAGAGCAAGAAGCAGCCAGGTAAGTTGCAGAGTACCTCTCCCCCCCCAGTCCAAAACAGTCCAGTGGCACCTTTAAGACCAAGTTTTATTCAGGTACAAGCTCTCCCTCCTCTGCAAGGACAGATCTGCACCCCCCCCCCCAATAGCTAGCAATCCCAAACAGTCCAGTGGAGCCTGAGCGGTGGGTGTTGCCTTCTGACACACTTCTGGTGATGTCAGGGAGTGTGGCATATGCAAAATAAGTTATGCTAATGAGTTATGCTAATGAGCGCCTGCACCTCTTTTTCTACGAAATGACCCCTGACCATCTCACAAGAATGCATGAAGCGGCCTTATACTGAATCTGGTCCGTCAAGGTCAGTCTTGTCTACTCAGACTGGCAGCCGCTCACCGTGGTCTCAGGCAGGGGTCTTTCACATCACCTACCACTTGGTCCTTTTAACTGGAGATGCCGGGGATCGAACCTGCGACCTTCTGAATGCAAAACAGAACCTTTGCACAAAGAAGCAAACAGAAGGAGCCACTGCCTATGGAGCACGGCTGGAAGCAACCAAGGTGTGTTTGGAAGCTCTTGCCGGCGGGTCCCCTCCACACTCACCTGCCTTCTCTCGATCTGTCCATCAGGTCAAACTGTTTCCGCAGCCACCTAAGGGAAGAGAAGGGAGGGATATTTTAGATTCACACAGATGACAAAACTACTCTGTGATACGGGTGGAAAAACAGACTTTTCTGGTATCTTCAGCTGATGGCCATGTTGTGTACTCAAGAGGCAGTGGGAGTGGATTAAAGGTTATGAACCCTTAACTCACAGAGTAGTTGTGTGGGGCAGACCCTGCACCTGGAGTAGCAGCAAAATCTAGGAGAATCAGACAAAACAGTTAAGTCAAAAAAGCAAAAAGACTGTGAAAAATGATGCTCAACAAAGATAACAAATATCCATATGTAGTGTTTTTCTCAGGATAGATATAGTGCCAAAATACAAAATTCAATATTCACACGTGTCACACTTATTAGTGCAAAAATCTCACTACAAATTTACAAATTCAAATCCTATTTGAATGAAGTTTATTTGCGGTCAAAGACCATTTATCAAAATATACATGCTTGTTAAATACAAGCAAATTAGCTTTCAGCTCTAAAAATAAAACATATAACCTTAAAGTCATTAAAATGTTAAAAGGAGAAAAGTTTAACAGTACATTATATCAAAATAATTATAAGATGTTTAAAACTAAACTACTTGTGAGTCATGCAAAAGGGTAAATGAGGATTCTACTTGTTAATTCAAATCCTAACGAAGATTCCAGATGTCTTCCATTTCAAATGTCTTCTTCAGAGGTGGACGAATATAGAAACAAAAGAGTTTGTACCTACTAAAAGATAATAGTTAGCCCATCTTGAAACTCATGTTTCTGCATTCTCTGAGACTTGAACCTTGATGGCCTTTGAAATCAGTACTGAACATTTTGAAAACTTTTGAGAACCAACATATAGAATAATCCAGCACTGAAGATACATATTTGCCCATCTCTGAGGAAGACATTTGAAACGGAAGACTTATCTGGAATCTTCGTTAGGATTTGGACTTGTGTAAACTTGTGAATCAGTAATGAGATTTTTGTACTAATACATGGGGATACGGAATTTTGTATTTTGGCACTATACATAACCTGAGAAAAACACTACATATGGATACTTATTATCTTTTATTGAGCGTCACTTTTCACTGGTTTTTTTTTTTTTGCTTTTTTGATTTACCTGGAAAGTAGCCGACAGACTCTGGCATAGGCTGAGGACATCGCTGGGGTTTGTCCACACCAGGGGCCGACTACACCGCCCCACAGAATGTCTACATTATGAAGGCTAGTACAGCCTTGGCCACACACCCTTGCCTTGGATCCAGAGAAGACGTTTCTGCAGATGGAAAGTTTTCCATTCAAAGAGCATAAGAACATGAGAGAAGCCAATGTTGGATCAGTTGGTTTCTGCAGATGGAAAGTTTTCCATTCAAAGAGCATAAGAACATAAGAGATGCCAATGTTGGATCAGGCCAAAAGAGGAAGCTTGTACCTTAGATAGTGATCTGATGACAAATTAGGGTTGTATTGGTGCGTTTCAATGATATATTGTGTTGTTCAATGATATATTGTGTTGTTAAACCAGCGTTTAAAGGCTGGCTTGTTTGTTTTTATATTTATTCGATGTATGTATTTACTATGTACTTATGTATTTATTGTATATTTTATTCTTCTTCTTGGAAACGTTCTATTGGCTGGTCGCTTGACCGTACGAATAAACTTGACTTGACTTGATCAGGCCAAGGGCCCATCCAGTCCAACACTCTGTGTCACACAGTGGACAAAAATACTAGGTGCCATCAGGCAGTCCAACACCGGGGCGATTGTTTCCTCACCTCCAATGCTCCCTCTAAGCTGTGGAGCCTTGTGAGCAAAAATTTTACTTTGTGAGCTACCGGCATTAAAGTTGTGAGCGAGCGATTTGACTACTGCATGAATTAGCTTGCTCTGGAGCCATCCTTCCGGAGTTCAGACAAAAATCTGAGCTGGAGGCTAAAAAACTGTGAGCTAGCTCATACTGACTCAGCTTAGAAGGAACACTGCTCACCTCCTGTGGCAGCCTGAAACGTCCCCTGAAATCTTGAGCTTGGGGGAGAGGGGATGCCCCACTAGGAACAAGATTTTGGGGGGCATTTGGGGCTGCAATGGGACGGGGGAGAACTGTGCTTTGTGAGTCAACATCCCTGCACCCACAGAAACACTGGTTTGGATCTGACCCCGATCTTCACCAAATGCCGCCCCGCCCCCTGCAACAGACTTCTTCGCCCCCAAGACTTGGTCACCGCTCCGTGGGAACCATTTTCTGCCCTTCCAGCATGCATGGCCCAAGAGGAAATTTCCCCCAGCTGCCTGTGAGGGGCTAGGGTTGCCAATCTCCAGGTGGGGCCTGGAAAGCACCCGGAATCATCATGACTGATTAGACCACAGAAATCAATTCCCCTGGAGGAAACGGCTGCTTTGGAGGGTGGGCTCGAGGGCATTACACCTAGCTGAGGCCCACGCCTCCCAAAACGGCGACCTCCCCAGGCTCCACCCCAAAACGTCCAGGAATTTTCCGACCTGGAGTTGGCAACCACGGGGGCCCTTAGTAAGCCTGTGCCTACCTTTGCTTTATACATATTCAACAGCTGCCCAATGCAAGTGTGTTCTACTCCTTTCCAGTGTTCCCTCTAAGCTGAGTTAGTGTGAGCTAGCTCACAGCTTTTTAGCCTCTGGCTCACACATTTTTGTCTTCGCTCATTAAGGACGGCTCCAGAGCAAACTAATTGATGTAGCAGCCAAATGGCTCGCTCACAATTTTAATGCCAGTAGCTCACAGAGTAGAATTTTTGCTCACAAGACTCCGCAGTTTAGAGGGAGCATTGCTCCTTTCCACTCATATCTGCCACAAAGGGGTTACGTCTGCTCTTTAGCTGGTCAGCCCCAATCCCACCCCATTATTCTGAGTTTTTACCTTGTTCAGGCCCCATATCTTCAGGCTGCCTTCTCATAAGAACATAAGAGACACCAATGTTGGATCAGGCCAAAGGCCCATCCCGTCCAACACTCTGTGTCACACAGTGGCCAGAAATACCAGGGGCCATCAGGAGGTCCAGCAGTGGGGCCAGGACACTAGAAGGACACTAGAAGCCCTCCCACTGTTGACCCCCCCCCAAACACCAAGAAGACAGAGCATCACTTGCCCCAGAGCCCCTATCTATACCTCTGCTCCATATGCTTATCTAATTCCCTTTTGAAGCCGTCCATGCTTGTAGCCCTGAGGGTTAGAAATGTTGCAGAATTTGGGCTGGACTGATTCGCAGTCTTCTGCTAAAACTCTGCAAAACCTCTGGTACAACTATAATACGTTAGTTATCTACAGTAATTAGCCTATATAGTTGAAACTCTGGTTCTGTTCTGTTCCCTGGAAGCCTCAGGACTCTGCTGTATGTGGCCTTCCAATGCTCCCTCTAAGCAGTGGTGTCTTGTGGCAAAAATTCTACTTTGTGAGCTCCTGGCGTTAACGTTGTGAGCGAGCCATTTGGCTGCTGCCTCGATTAGTTTGCTCTGGAGCCCCATCCTTCCTGAGCTAAGACAAACAGTTGTGAGCTGGAGGCTAAAAAACTGTGAGCTAGCTCACACTAGCTCAGCTTAGAGGGAATGCTGGACACGACCTCACCTCATGTGGCTCTTGCTTACGGAGAATGTTTATACTTTACAGCGGTCAGAAGACTCTTAACAAAATTCTGACGAGAGAAGAATATCAGAAACGAGCGTCCTTGATTCTGTGAATCACCCTGGCTTAACCCAGCTTTCCTTGATTTTTCCTGACCCGAGCGATAGAAAAGAAGCGGCTGACTTTGTTGTTTATGTCAGATGTATGTCAAAGTCTTGCCGCAGGCTTAATGGACAGTTACAGTAGCTTCAATGGGTGAAAGAGGGGACGTAATGTCTGATTTTAATCCTTGTTCCTTGCTGTTCTGATCAACCACCCAGCTGTTATGGGTCTTGGCAGAATAACCAAGGATATCCTTCATAGAATTAAGAGTGCACTTGCTTAGGTATTGGGGTTGTGTTGAAATATTCTATGCGGAATGTTGAAATGCTACAAAAATGTTTTTCTGACTTAAGACCAGGGGTCATTTCCTGCA